GGCATCTTTAGCACTATTGACGTTAGACTGACATACCTATGGGTTGAAGCTATTCATCGGTCTTCGTTCGTCCTTATTGTCATCGCTGCACTTTTCTAGTTCTTCTATAGCTACCCTTCATTGAGATATATGTCAAACGGCGCTATCGGGGGAGCTGCAAATATATGTTTTGGTGGGCGAATACTGCCAGGGCTTGACCAAATCTCCAAACAAACACCGGTCGTGGTAAAAAGTCGTCCATGACATATAAAGCCTATCTAGTTATCTGTACTTTGCTCCGATATATATACCGTTTTGGAGCACTGAAACTTGGCATCCTCTCCCTCGTAATCTGCACTCCACAGACCATCTTGGGGGTCTTCATCATCATTATCAGCTGTAATAACCGTGTACTTGTCGTACAGTGACGGCTTTGCACACATTGTGCACCTTAAGAGTCGATCTAGTGTTTCTGGTCAATCTAGTCCTACACATTTTGTGACGGTTTAACTGAATCCCACTCGCCATTTGATGTGCAGCCTTTCATTTCAACACCCAATGATTCCTATCTTGGATGTTGTCTACGCTTGTCGCTCCTTGTGGTTGGCTTTTCGACCGCAGCCTCACCATATGGTGGGAGTCCTTCCGATTTGCGTTTCTTGGCGGGGTGACCTTGTATGTCGTCTTCAAGGGCTTCAGCTCCGTTTATCTTGATTGTTCTAGATTTGGAGCGCATGTCGTTTGACCCCGCTTGATAATTTTCGCACGATATAAGCATCGCTTTATATAGTTGAGCAAATTATATCCGACACTAATCAGGTGCTTCCGCGCTAGTCGTGTGCATTTTCAGCCGAAGTACTGTGTGATCATTCTTTCAAGTGGCGCTTGTATGCATGTCACCGATGTACTAGGTGATAGCCAATTCCAATAATGAGGCACTCTGCTCCTCTTGCTAAAATAAGACTTGATTGTGAATCAGCTGGAGTAATGCAGCCGTGGATTTACTTTGCGAGACAAATTTTCATCAGTTAACATCATCATCATTAACGGCATAACATCAGTGTTCAAAATAAATGTTTCGCTGCGGTACAATCAACCAGCTTGCAGTTTGTTGCCATTCCCTCCTTTCTCGTTCCCATACGTTCTCCTCCCCCCATCCGATTAATATTGCTCTCCGCAAAGGCCTATTCGTTAGGGTTGACGGCTTCATACGTTTTGACAGTGATATCCGCCTGTCAACCAGCACGGCAGTTTCAGGCCTCAAAACAATCTTTCAGTATCAGGGACCTGCTTGTTTTGCTGCTTTTAATGTTCAGACTGTGTTGAACACGTGCTGTGCTCTCTATGTAACTATGTAATCAACCACCATTAACAAGTCCCACTTCTCCAGCCCGGCCATATTTTGATAGCCACGTTTACTAGTATGGTGGCTGTGTGAAACAGACAGACAGTGTGATGGCGCATGCTTCTCACCCTTTGTTAATATTCTGGCATTAAGTACAACAGAGTTCCTCAAGCATCCCTGTTATAGTTCTTTCCTGTGATGATGTCACTATTTTGTCTGACTCAATACCCGTGATGCCACAAATTAGTGCCGCATGAAATGAACGATTTCAGCCCTATGTTCTATGGTTTTTTTTCGTCTTGGCTTCTACTTTAATTGTTGAATAGGCACAGGAAGAATGTGACATAGAGTGGAATATGTGGTTCCGAGGTTTGGTGAGTAACCTACTGGTGCTGTTGACTCAGGCAGTCTAGAGCATGGCAATGCTATGGAATGTAGGTAGCTCGGGTGTGCTGCTTGGTTGTTGGTCTCTTTGCCGAGGTTGGCAGTTGGATTGCAAACGCTTCATCACCAATCGAGGTGACGTCGTCAGTTCAGGGACGAGTGGGTCCCAACAACCAGGCTGGAGCATCCCTGGCTAAAACTTTGACCCTATTAGTTTGGAGGACTCTGTTTTGGGTCCTCGAAACCATATCATTAAGATCTTGTCCGCATTGGAATAAACTTAATACCATTCCGCCAAAATGGACTATGATGATGCCACTCTCCTTACTGACGTAGTTAGACTCACACTTATAGGTGGTCTCCACATGAGAAGTTCCAGGTCGCCTTAACTGAGATCGAGGCCGCCATCAATGGGAGTTACTCTTCATAATGTAATGTCAGCTGCATAAGCTATACACGCAGGCTTAATGGTTGCAAGCGGGTCATCAATGTAGATTGAAAACATTAGGACGATGAACCGACCGTTTCCAAACGCCACTGTAGACATCCCGCCATTTGGACACACCCTTTTACTTTCTGGTAGAAACGTGCCGGCAAACCTAGAAACCTGAATTCAAAGTAATTTTTCACCTCTAATCCCAGTATACGTAGCTCCGAGGGATTTTACCGACATTATCTCTGAAATCAACGTATATTACATCTGCATCTTGTCCGGAAACGTTGGCTTTCGCCCGTCACCCTATGCTCATCAGTAGGTTGACTTAGGAAGTGTACTTCTCATGAACTACATGTTAATATGAATCAAGTAATTTGCCTCTCACCACATGGATCTGCCTTTCTTCGTAACCTTGCAAGCCAGGGTTGATATGTGACTGACAGATGTGAACAATAAGCTGACGGTTGCAGTCTACGGTAGTCACTCTTCGTTAAGAAATATACTGAAGAGTTTCGAAAGTGGACTTGCGGTTATGTTTGCCAGTTCCTTGGTTACCTAAAGGTGGATGCCGCCAGGTCCATGCGAACTGTGAGAGTTTGTTCATTGTAGGGGATCTACCACGCCTCACAATCATTTGCTATCAGTTCCTTGGTTACCTAAAGGTGGATGCCGCCAGGTTCATGCGAACTGAGAGTTTGGTCATTGTAGGAGACCTACCACGCCTCTCACAATCATTTGCTATTTAACACACGTGGGGGGATTGAGGGTCCTGCCGTGCCCTGAGTTTTATATGAATGCTTATTTGTTTGCGAAAGTGTCTGTTTTACCGCTTCATTCATTCACCTTTTGATTGTAAACAGTTTGAGTAGTGCTGTTGACTAGTATATTGGCGAAAGTAAGCAACAAAACGTCCCGGTGTAGTTCCAGACTTCGCTCCCAGTTTCTGTTCAAAACCATGGCGCCTGGTAATCCTCATAACTTCACATCATTTTCATGCGTGTGGTAGTTGTAGTTTTCTTTTGTTTCCGTTTCGGGCGCCATTTCGCCTGATGTTTTTCTCCGAGTTATCTGTCCCACCCCGGAGTGAGGTTGCGCCTCACACATGGGTGCAAACGCTTGGAGAGGCCCCAGGATCTAACCTTTCACATGTTTCAAACAGAATGTCCGCGTAGTCTTCTGTCACATCGATGGAGTTGACTGCTGCCATAACTGCAACAAACTTCATGCTTGATTGCAAAAGCAGTAATCCACTATCCCAACGAAACATCAACTCGTGGTCACCATTGACCAGCTAGGGAATTACTTCAAGGCATATACGTCCTGGTCCTTCGGCGAAGACGCCAGGTCGAGATTATTGAATGACTGCCATTGACCTAGTGACCTGCACGTGGTGCTCTGAGAAACGTCCGAAATGGTCGCCTGCAGTTCATATGCACGGATCAGCTTCCACTGGCCGCTGTTCGCAGACCAGTTTGTCAAAAGCGCTTAAGAATGAACTATAACTGGGTGGTGTCCTCAGTTGATTGGCCGTTTTGAGTCACTACTTAGCGACGGGGAATGCGTTGCAAGTGTTCGATAGATCAGCCCCATATTCACGTATCCTTGACAGAACGACTTTTACTTTGCGCCCTACATTTTCTTGCGTTCCATCAGGATCCATGATGCGCTTGGTAGTTGGACGCTGTGATCGTCACAGGTAAAAAGGAAATGCCTTCTGTCCCTGGTTGCCCTATCACTTTCCATGAGGCTGAATAACAAATGACGCATGTCACTCGTTAGTCGGTTCGGGTGTCGAATTTTGAAGTGCTAGATGCTCCAGCACATCACTCTTACTCATGGCGCTGTCGATAAAACCGATAATTTTGCCACGATGTGATTAGAAATTCTCTTAAGCTTGCCCGTCCTCCAGAGAAACCAACTGCAACTTTGGTGATGTCACTGACAACGGAAACCATGGAATTCGTCACTTTCGGTGGAAATCCTGGATGAATAGGTTGGCTATAGTTTCAGGTTTTTTGTCGATACACTGTAGTATAGTTTTGTTTTCTAAAACAACACCAAGCAGAGCGTCGCAGCTTGGCCTCTGGTGGTGCTTACATTTGCCTACCGTTGGCGTCAATTTCAAGGAAAAACACGGGGTTCAGGGACAGGCATTGCTGCTAAGTATCATCTCAGTGTCAAAAACGGTACGATCCTCTGCACACAAAATCGGAACAGATTCATCCATGGGAAGAAACACAAACGAACAACGTTTAGATCCTGTCAAGTCATGGTTTCAGCTTTTCACAAGCGGACTCAGAACCTTCGTTTAAAATCGCACATTGTATTCGCATTACTGTATTGTGTCGGTTCTTGAGACTGTGGGAGGCGGTCGGCAGCTTCTGTACTGTTACCTTCGGAAAGTCCCTCGGTAGAATGCGGAGCTCAAATAAATGTCCCCTTGATTACGGACGTGTCTTATTCTAAGTTCACATTCTGTGATTTATAAGAGGATATCATCACGGCAGTAGCATTCACGATTGAATAACATCAGTGAGATTTCTTACCTCCATCCAGGACACAGATGATGAGCCCCTTTCTTTGATAAGCCTTCGATGGTTGGTTGCCGGGCAACTCGAGGGAAGCACAATAAATGATGTACTTCTCGGGAGCGCAATTCTATACAGTAGCAACCGAAAAGCCGGAGTAAGATTTGAGCCGCATCCTGATCTCTGGGCTGTCTCAGGCTCCGACTGACAGTGACTATCAGTATGCTTCCAGAACCAACTTTCGGGTCTAAGATGTCCACTTTCAGTATTTTGTCACACCTGAGTTCCTACAGTCTGGAGACACTATTGCTGACGTCCAGTGGTGGCGTATGATTGCAACCTTCGAACAGCAAGCATTGCAGAGCAGTCTGTTTTTATCTGTTAACGATTTCATCCTGAGGAATTTCGGTTGCTTCTTAAAAGGAAGCACTTCGTTGATTGACACCTTCACCTCGAGATTATTCTACACGACTGTAGAATGCAGTCTTCGCTCTCGCTTGCAATTTGAAACGCATAGTTCCACCAGATGTATACAGAAATAATAACTTGTTGGCCTCGCTCGACTCTAGCCTTATTGGCGTCTTTGATACTGTTTGGTATATTGTAATTATTAATGATAATATGGTTGTATCGGATGGTTTGTCATCAGTTGAGATCGTCCAACCTGCACACATAACCAACATTGACTTTCTGTGAAGGTGTAAATTCCAGTTCAGAGTACCTCATCATATTGCCATCTTGTCTTGATATCATGTGGAAATGTGTGCGAGAGCGTCGAAAATAGACCATGAAAAAAAACTAAGTCTTTCGGTTCTTAATGTTGGAATGTTGCATATAATGACCCAGTTTGTTATGCTCAAATAATCTTAATTGATCTGGCAGTGAAAGTGCCTGGTGAACCACTTTATTAAATACCTACTCGGCTCTCCATAAGAACGTTGCGGCACTTTACATATGCATACCAACTGGTGAGTGGAATATGTGCTTCTTTGGCAAATAGTGCGTACGGTGCGGCAACTGTCCATGCATCAAGTATGTCTCTCAAGTTGGTCGGTTACCTGGATCATCACAATGAGATTTCCAGGAAGTATTGGTTTACTGACTGACAAACAGACGGTATAGTTTATTTTCCGCTTACCTTTTTTACTACAGTACTCTGTTTGATGGCAGCAGGCGAATTCTTCAATTTCAACAACCTGCAGGTATGACGGGATGTTTGGGTACCAACTAATATTACATATACTTCGTACGATGAATCATTCATCTGAGAGCCTTTTTTCTGTCAGGAAATAACCTTTAGGGAGTCATAGCATAGCCCCTTGCAGTTTATATAGTAGACATTGCTAGTGACTGTTGTGATCTACTTCTCCTTAGCTTAACTAGTAAGTTCCGGCAGCCTTGCAAAGTTAGGCAAGCTAGGGTGCATAAAATGCACATATGAGTGGTCACTGTTATGCACCTCCATCAGAATGGTGGTTTGACGCGCTACCGAAATTTCGCTTCTCCGGGTTATCGAACGGTTTTGTAATACTTAAGTCTTGGCAAGTCGTTACCACCCTTTACGAGGTAAAAACACCTGGACAAACCCTTCCTGTTTTCTAGCGTCAATTAGTTACACTTCATAAATATTTTAGACTGAGGTCACAGTATCCTTATACGGATCCAATGCCGATCAAAATATGCATTGCGGTTACCCAACAGCAAACATATTTGCTGTGCTATCTGTGGAGCCATCTCAGAAAGTGTGTGTATATCAAAATGTTTTGTTTTACCTCATACCAAGCATATATAAAGTGAATATGTGGAATAACACTCGTGCGAACGAGCGGATGGTAACCAACTCTAAAATTCACTGATACGAAGAAAACTATGCGGTCATCAACCTGCCATCCACAACTCAATTCAGAGGCTGCATCGTTACTGATGTGACCGGTCAGCTCTCTAATTCGAGTAATTTTAACAAGAAAGCTCGGGTTTGGTCGGCTCAGGGAAGACGCATGGGCTATCCACTAAAAGGCCTTCGGGTTTAGGCTTTCCCTGACTATCTGTTGGCTCATACTTCATCCTTTAAAGCGTTACATCATTGCAGCCTCATATCCCATGGGCTGCATTCCGGATATGCACTAAATAGATGCGGCACTTCGGTGCTTCGTTCCTCTTTGAAACCAGATATCCCATTTGTTTTGAAGTTTTCGGGTCATGTTGTGGGCGAATTACATGTAACACACAGTTACAAACGCTGTTTAACGCTCCTTCGGAGAGTATCCGCCTTCCTTTCGTTTCGCTAAGGTACTTTATATTCGGCGAACACACATTGACATCCTTTAGGTTGTTCGCCCCACCCCCCCCCCACATTGCCGATCGAAAATGGATATGCGGGATGACGGATTACGTGACCCATCTAGCTTGGTCTGCGGAATGTGACCAGCCACCGAAATCGAAAACCTTATGTTGCGCCTCTCCGGGTATTCCAACCATACCGAGACAATGCGTCGATGGTCAAATATACAAAGCCTTCGTGTACCTGCGTGCACACTACACGTCTCCAAGCCATAAAATGATATAGATCGGACTTGTCCTTGACAAAAGCTACCCTGACCTTCCCTATTCGAGAAACCTGGACTTGTGCAACTGTCTCCGTGGGTGAGTTTGTTTGAACGTCGATTACTCCGTACGTATGAGGTGTGAAGGCGAAATGTCGGTGTGCGTGGAAGGTTGAATTATAAGTGAACTAGAAGCGTGAACGACACGATCTCTGTGGAATCGGTTAGTATTTTGTTCACTGTTCCATCAAACACTGCCCCATATCATCTCTCATCAGGATTTTGTAGGTGTCAATACAGCAGTGTATTTGAGTGTATTCATGCATGAGGTTGGGGAAAATATTGAATACAGCCCTAATTTTCAGCGATGGGCTTGAATCTGGGACCTTCCGGTCAGTAACTTCGGACTTTAACCGTTGGGTCATCTCGAGCTCTAAAGTGAGTAGTACTAATAACTAGTTTGTGCTCACTTTACCCGTCCGGTCGAACAGCCTAGATTTTGTTATCGTTTTAACATAGAGCCATCCACTTTTCTTCCCTTTTTCAGCGGATCTATTACCTCTCGCTGGAATTCTACATGGGGAGAACTCTGACGAACACTATGCTCAACGTTGACATTGCCGCAGCTATTGATGAAGCCATGTACCAGGTAACCGTCATTTGTTGGTTCACGCCATTAGTAAGTTGTTTGGCCCAGTAAGCATCCCAAAAAGGCGACGCGGTGGTTTTCTCATTAGGTTACTTTATTGTGCTTCGCTTGTGTAGCAGATCAGCTTATCCTGAGGATGCCCCGTCACTGAATATTGTATCGTTCACGCGATTTAGCTGGGTTACCTCTATAGTACTAAAGGTGGCAAATCTCGGGTGTGATGAACAGCATCCTTCCCATGTAGTAACTGTTTAGCAGGGGTCTTCGCTTTCCGCACAGCACTGGTTTTCGTGCAAAATGGGGGTTAATAAAGTAACTCGCGGGAAGTGAAAGTTTGCGGAGTAAATCATGGTTTTTTGAATTTACGGTGCAAACCCAATTTAACTTCTGCTTGAGCCCTGGAAAATAGACGCGACAGCTGATGATTGTGAATAATCCTTGAGTAGGTCGGTGTCACGCAGTGGCTAGATACGGGCAATCATGAGCTACCTGCAACAACGTTTTCATCCGCATCGTACACGACCGCGATAATTTCCGTCCATATAAATTGCCTCAGATGGGGCTACCTGTGGTTTGTCCCTCATAAATCCCTCCACTGATTAAGTCCTTCTTGGAAGAGACCGCCTATTGAAAAATACCATTTAGTGATTTACTGCATGCCGCCGTATCTGAAGAGGAAACAGCTTTACAACACATTTAGAGCTTTATCCGATACAAATGCCTCTTTGGTGCCTTTTCAGTGATCACCTCAAAGAGTTGTCTTTTCTGATGGTTTCCTTTCCAGACGGCATAATTTGCCCTGAAAAAAGTAAACAAACCCTTAGACGTCATGCCAACAGCTGCGTCACCTTCCCCAGGCTACATAACCAAAGCATGTCATTTTGACGGCATAGAGGTTGTACTCATAAGTTTTGGGCTTCTTCGGTCTCCATATCCAACCACTTCTCGACTATACCTGGAAAACCGGTTCTCTAAGGATGACCAAAACATCGGTTGATAAGTTGACTAGAATTGGTGGAAGGCCGACAAATAGAATATTTTCTGCAAAAAAGAAGGCAAGGTTGATTTCTGGTTGAGTTTGCCGTATAGGCGGTTGTGTCCCTTTAAAGAGACCATACTAGGGGGGCAACCGATGGTAGTCTCACCTGGACGGTCGTTTTCTCTTGAAATGCCATTCATGGGTCAAATACAAGTGATCTGTGATGAAGTGGTCTCATTCATGCGTGAGACAGCTAAAATGACAAAACCATGACCACAGTCTCTGGAGATCGCCACATCACAACCCCAAAATAGAAGGTCGCTTAATAGCGCCACATTCTACACACATCAGTGTCACCACGTCTCTACTATTCACCATGATTGGATGAACACTGGAGCTGTGCATAACCGTGATACTAGAGCTGTCTCTTTCTGAACAGACAACTTTCAGCAGAGATTAGATCTCAAAAGAGACCAGTTTTGTTCGTTTCTTGCTACTTTCCTTATCCGTTATGTCGATCTCAGTATAGACCGTCTTCTATAGACCATTTTCGCCGAAAGATTCAGGTGATCTCATGAAAGCATGTTAAATATTTTGGGCAGATTGACTTCGGTAGACAAAGCACCTGGACTTTGGTCCAACCTGAAATGGGTGTGTTCTGACCAAACACGGCAGTTCCCCACCCTATAACGAACACAAAATATTGCACTTGTAAAGTTGGTAGACACAAATGGTGACGTGAGTGGGCTCGCTTTCTATTTTGGAACACTATGATTGAGTTCAAAACGTTGCAAGTAGGCCCATAAGTAGGTTGCATAATCATAGTTGCTTTATAGGTTAGTCGGCGTTCGGAATGCATGACCCGATCTCACACTCTGCAGTTTTCCGTACTCTAATCAATTCAATCAATTCAATTCAATTTATCAGCTATAAACTGTGGGCCATAGACACATTGGTTCCAGCTGCTACAGTTTCGATCACCGGAAAACGGGAAAGTGGAATACAAAACCAAGCCTTGGAGGCGAAGGCATGCTCAGTTTGTTTGGAAATTGGGTAGCTACGCATTAAAGGCTGTAGCTTTGATACAAGAGCGCCACTGACTGCGCGACTGGGCCCTTTACGCCACTTCAGTTTTGATCAGTTGCCCTGTGACCCATCTTTGAGGCTATCCTGATGAAAACTTCATTTTACATCCACAGAAGCTAGCAAAATGGACCTTCTATCAGGGAATGCTTTAGGAGCACTGCTCCGAACGATGCCCCAGACAATTAGGGCTAGTGTCCTTTAACACCAAACAATAGCATTGCTGAGTTCAACGACACTACATGTGTGACTCCACAGTAGGAAGGGTTTGTCAAGCTTGAATGGGAATATTGGGCCAAATTGTGAGTTTTAAGTGTCTTACAGCAATATATGCGCCCAAAGCGGTTTCACCGCCCAGCAATACCCGGATAAGCGTTCTCGCAGGTCATATATTGTCCACCTCTCGGTCGCTTCCACTCAGCACGTGGCCGGGCGAAAAGAGCTGTGCCAGGCAGACGATCTGGCATGCGAAGTACATGACCCAACCAGCGCAGCCTATGAAGCGTGAGTAATTCATCCATCGCGGCAGAGTTCCTTCTTCCTAATGTAACAAAATGTCGCTGTTTTGGTATCACATCGGCACAATAAGCTCTTCTTTTAGTGGTAACATTTTCTGGCCTCCGATGCTTGAGACGGGATAGCGCGCGCACAATTTTGACTCAGTCGAGACTTTTTTCAACGTTCCATTTCGCGTTTGCAAATTGGCGGCTTCCCAGCTAATTTGTAGGCGATAAGGATGAAAAGGTTTGTTAGGTTGTGGATGGTTGCCATAATAATGTACTGGTTTCAATGTATGTCATTATGTCATTATTAAAATTCGTTATGGGCATAGTATTATTCTCTTGTACGGTCCATAGAGGGCGTTACCTTCAGGAAGAACCGCCCTCTCCAAGCAGAGGTTGTTTATACGTGACTGGTCCTCATTAGTTGAGATTAACCGAACCGATGATCCAGGAATAAATAGACTTGTTTTACGCTGATTTTAGCGTTGGGCAAATGTGAGAGCTGTTGAACTGGTGACATGCTACCTCGCGAGTGAGAACTCGACCGAAAATCGGTGCATGCGAGTTGTTTTTATCCAAAGATGGTCTATGTTGGTCGTTTAGAATTCCTGAAACAACCGGGCGAATGCACGCAATAGAGCCCCATCCATCCCCTATCTGTCGATTGATTTGGATATCGCGGTAGCTATACACAGTTTTAATTCGTCCTTATAAACATTACCACGCTGACCGGTAAACAGCTGAGTGGTAGCTTGCTGGCGAACCGGGAATCTGGACGTCTTCGTTCTCATCTGTGCTATGTTAGTACAGCGAAGCGTTAATACTGAACACTGACATGCTGTCAATGATGATGATGAGTGTCCTGCATTGGATTGAATAGACGAGGTAAACATGTCAAAATCAGCAAATAGCGGCGTTCGTAAACTAGGACTTCCTTGAACGACAAACTTAGCAGCGAAAGTACAATTTTGAATCGAATGCTAATGCAATAATCTCAACGACTGAATCGTAGGAGGGCAGTGCCAAAAATATGATGTATCTTTTTAATTAGGAGGGCGCTTGAACCGGCCCTGTTATGTGGGCAGTCAATCGCTTTGTTCCACCAGGCTGTGTTGGAGTTCCAGGAGCAGTTTTCACTTCAGTGGAGACAAAAGCCGTCTCCAACGTATTTCAATAAGGCGAACAAATTCATAGGGAAGCTCTACGTAAAAGGACAATGATGGTCTTAGCAGCGAAAGTACAATTTTGAATCGAATGCTAATGCAATAATCTCAACGACTGAATCGTAGGAGGGCAGTGCCAAAAATATGATGTATCTTTTTAATTAGGAGGGCGCTTGAACCGGCCCTGTTATGTGGGCAGTCAATCGCTTTGTTCCACCAGGCTGTGTTGGAGTTCCAGGAGCAGTTTTCACTTCAGTGGAGACAAAAGCCGTCTCCAACGTATTTCAATAAGGCGAACAAATTCATAGGGAAGCTCTACGTAAAAGGACAATGATGGTTAGTCTCACTCCTCTTCTGGTTATTTGGTGCGTTGTGTCATCGGTCTGCCTTCCTAATTTAGATGAAACTGAGAGTCTTTAACTGCAATAATCATTGAATCCACAAGCCTTATGTGCTAAAACGTTATCCGATACGACCACACGACAGCATTGTAGCTGTACAACACGGGTTCCTTTTTACCTATGGAATGTGTTCATCTCCCTTATACGACCAAACCTGCTTATTACTGGTTCCGGTGATTCGCTCGGGGCTGAGAAAAAAATGGCAGGCACTATCCATAGATCTTGCCGTTTTGACAGGTAATTCCGAGTGTATAGCAATATTGGATTGACAGAAAATACAGTGTTTTAGCGCTTAACCATAGTTTTCTGTCCTTAATTAGCCTCAGGTAGGCTATCTTACTGAAGACTCTCACATTCGCCTTCCTCTGATGCACTTCACTCCCCAAAGATCCCATGGATCGTTGGAAAAACAACTGTAGTCCTGTTGAGTGATGTTCGAGGAAGTGTATAACCATCTATGATGAAGGTAACATTTTTTGAGGTTGCTGAACAGTGAGTGAATTTTCGCTTAGCTCAAGCGAATGAAGTATAGCCTCAATAGAAGACCTATCCCCTTTTCCCGTGATAACCTCTTTTCGTGGAGGGAATTATTCTACTGGATGTGAGAATTGGTTTTCTAATTGTAACTTCAAATTTAGGCGTCAATATATTGGTGTTTGTTTCTGGTATAATTCAGGAAAACGAGATAAATTTAGAATATTTTGAGGCTGATGATGTTTATAAAACGTGTTACTATCTTGCAATCAACATCTGACAAAACTTCTCTCATACTCCCCCATCTTCACATAGCTTGGTCTTGATATTGAAGATTTGGAGGAAGTCGAATCTGATGCTGGTCTAGGTAACGGCGGCCTGGGTCGCCTAGCCGCATGTTTTTTGGATTCAATGGCAACGCTTGGGTTGGCAGCCTACGGTTACGGGATTCGGTACGATTACGGTATCTTCGAGCAGCTGATACGAGATGGATGGCAAGTAGGTTTGGATAAACCTTTTAGAATGTTGCTCAGTGTGGTGGGTGATTTTTCTTTAGTGGTCTTTTGTGGATTGCACTGAAACGAGCTATGAGTTGAACGCTTTGGTTTGCTGAAGTTTCAGCAACATGTATGATGTTTTTCGTTTGGTTCACAAAGGTGGAGGAACCGGACGAATGGCTGCGCTACGGCAACCCATGGGAGAAAGGTCGTCCGGAATACTGTTACCCAGTAAACTTCTACGGCCATGTTGAAGATGCGGGCAATGGACGCAAACGGTGGGTGGATGCCCATCCGGTTTTCGCCATGCCCTATGACACGCCAATCCCAGGCTACCGGAATAACACCTGCAACACTCTGCGCTTGTGGTCAGCAAAGGCCCCCAAAAGTTTCGACCTGAGCATCTTCAACACAGGTGACTATATTAATGTAAGTTGCTTTGTTTCCAATGGCAGATTTCTATTTAGGGCTGCTCGAAACTTCAAATTGCCGAGCAAATCCCGGGTTCAGTTTTTTTGAACTGGTATGCCATGCACTGCGCGCGTCGTCACCAGTCTAGTTTCTGCTTGCACTGGACGAATTGTGTGACCAATTATACTCTAGTGATCACAAAATCGCGACCGAGGTCACTGCGATTCACAAAATATCACGTGCTTCTCACCGCATGTGCTATAGAGCGAGAAAAAAGTAGGTATTTATCGTTTAGATACCAGATTCACGGGATGCTATGCGTGAAGCGCTTCATTCAATTCCAGTATAGAAAAAAACTAGTGCTTGTGGAAAAAAAGGATAGATTTTATGGTTATTACGGGTGAGATTGGCTTCATTTTTTATAAGGCATTCTTACCAGTTGTTATACAAAAGTAGTTTGTTTTACGGTAGCCCACCATATAGTAGTTGCTCACAGGAACAGGGGACACGTGTTTGTATGGAGCAAAAGTGCATATGTAGCCAGAAATTCATTGGTACTGCTTCCGTCGTGATAAAGGCTTTTCGACATTTACCTTCTCCCTTGCTTAACACCAGCCGAACCACCTGATTCGTTTCCGTGACCTTTTTGCCCCGCTTTTAACGACCGTTTGTTGGTTCCAAATCTCACATGCCTGCGTTGCTGACAGTTTCTCCTTATTGGTTTCAATGCCGTAGGCTGTGTGTGGTCGCAATCATGCGGAGAACATTTCCCGTGTGCTCTACCCTAACGACAACTTTTTCGAGGGAAAGGAACTGCGGTTGCGCCAAGAGTATTTCCTTGTTGCCGCCACGTTGCAGGTGAGTCCCTCGGTCCTCTGTGTGGTGTTTTCTATGCATCCGGTAGTGATTTACAAGCTGTATACACCTGTGGGTGACTAGGCTGACAGCATCTGCTTTCGGAAGTTCTCCGAACCTTGTTCAAGTAGATAGCCATACGGCGATCCACTAGTTCAATGAATACCAATTGGGAAAACCCCAATAAGTGCTCCTCGGGGCTTTTGCTGACTAAGAGAGGCCTCAGTTTCGCAGACCAGCTGTCTCCACTTCAACCTATTTTAGAGTCATCCTGTAACAAGGACGTCAATGTACCACACTGGTTTTATACGCAGGTGGAGCTTCTGGCGGGGACGGCCATTGTTCATCTACCAAGACTCAGTGGTCTGCGGCTTACCTACAGAAACCATTCCAAAGAGTAGCTGTCGTATACTTTTTCTTGACCTGAGAACTTTTTATCGAACTAGGACACTCTGTACACGGTTAATCCGCCTCATCAACATCAAACATGACTGCCTGCTTTTAGTGGACAGTAACTGTCACCGCGCTTCTTCCGTTTGCTACATGAAGCACAGTCTACGGACAATCACAACTGCTTCTGTTCTAATCCGTCTCGTGGGAAGTGTTTTTTGAGTGGCTCTTCACTACTGGAAAGATCCGACGCGACCCAAATTCTAAAATATCTTAGTCTATTTTTACTCTAACTATAGAACATGAAAACTCCTTTGTTGTTGTTTGGATGCGAAACAACTAAGGGAATCGCGTTTTAGATGCTATGTAGTAGCAAACGTCACTGAGAAGACTGTCCCACCCCCACCCTCCAGAGTAGTAGTCAATAATAGCATCGTACTTTCCTGTTTGACGTTTATTCAGGATATTATTCGCCGTTATCGGGGTGGTGGAGTGCCTCACACGACGTTTGATGAATTCCCCAAAAAAGTGGCGATTCAGTTGAACGACACCCATCCTTCTCTTGCCATCCCAGAACTGATGCGCATACTTGTGGATCTTGAAGGCTTGAGTTGGAAGAAAGTGAGTTTTTCTACATAACCTCTTTTTTCACTGTGATTTGTGTTTGCCACCACCAACGTTGTTCACTTTTGCACTTCCCTATCATCTGACCTACAGGCTTGGGAAATCAGTTACAACACCTTTGCATACACGAATCATACCATCCTGCCTGAGGCACTCGAGCGTTGGCCCGTTTCACTTTTGGAGCACATCCTTCCACGACACTTGCAAATCATTTTCCAGATCAATGCAGAATTCCTGGAGGTATGTTCTTGTCTGTTCTCTATTCACGTAGCGATACTTTGTGACCTTTTCTCCAGAACCTGTGGGGAAATGTGGTGTTGGGAAAGTTCAAACCGGAACATATGGTTTGAGGGGTGGCTAACAAGTTTGGACTTAATTTTTACAGCTATCCCGTTTGGATTTCATGGTGAAAGGAAGAAGACCTTCGCTGCGGAGTTATTTATTGGAAAATGCCAACCGACCAGTTACAGTTTATTGGACAGGAGAGCAAAACTCTCATATGCATCTTATTTACAAAACTGAACATCCATTTTCTCTTGAACGCGTCTTCCTGGACTTTCCTGGATATTCATTGACTGTTGCTCAAATCCAAGCAAATGCTACAAAGCGATTCCTCAAATTCCGCAACAGATCTCCCTTTTCCAGAGACGCAGGGCGAATTTACAAGAAAACATACTACTCGCATGCCTCCCCCATCAGTAGTATCACTGATACAATGGTAGTGTTTGCAATGCTACGGACTCCCTCCACATCATTACCTTACCTCGCAGATTGCCTACCCATCAGTAGCAAACTATACTCCCGTAAGCGCCTGAACAAGTTTGCAAGTTAGATTTCCAAACAGCGAAGGTTTGTACCACTTTGTGACATCGTTACCAACCTTCGTCACAAGAAGGTACGGAATTCTAGTCGGTCTTCAGGGGAGCTCGTTTGCTTCAAAGTTCGATGGTCTAGTTTCCAATGGTGCCCAAAAACCATACATCTCAGGCAAACTGATTGTATCAGTCCACCATAGCAGTATATAGTCGAATCAGTGAAGCGGTCTAATAGCTGCCTACAGGTGGCTGGTCACGGTTT